GCTATTTGACCCAGCGGTGGCTTGAGTATGAAACTCTATATCCTCTTACTGCCATTCCAAGGATAGAGCCCGAGGGAGCAACATTCTTGCATACTCAAGAGCAGGAAGATAGGATTCACAAGTTCCTTATGAGGCTTCGTGATGAGTTTGAGGGACCTTGTTCACAGATCTTGTCGATGATGAGGCTTTTGTCTCTTTATAAGGTGTATGCGATGATTGAGCAGCATGAGCGTCGTGTCCGTATTGCATCCTTTGCAGCTACTGTCGGGTCTCGTTCAGGATCCTTAGCCAGAGGTGGACAACGTTATCAGGGCGCTCCAAATCAGCACAAACAAAGGAATTCTCGTCAGTGTAATTATTGTGGCCGACCAGGACATCTTAGGGTTGCTTGTTGGAAGCTCCATCTAGAGCTTAAGCCGCCTCCTCGTGGTCGTACTACTGCTATTACTAAGATACCACCACCTACTGCAGCTGCTCCTACTGTTCCTTCTTGGCAGAGTGATATGGATGCTATCACTTCTCGATTGGATAGACTTATGTCCGCTCTGACTTCTCAGAGTCCGACTATTACTACAACCACCACTACAGGTATACCTCGTGCCTTTTATGCTTGTGCCAGTCCGTCTCTCCTTTGGATGCTAGACTCGGGGACGAATGGTCACATGACAGGTGAGACCCATCACTTCTCCACTTTTGACGAGCAATTACATACACAGGTTCAGTTAGCAGATGAGACACATGCTCCTATTGTTAGTAGGGGTACAGTCCGCCTCCCATATGACTTTACATTACGTTCGATTTTTCATGCGCCAAAGTTGGCCATGAATCTATTATCTGTACATCAGTTAACCAGAGATTTTTACTGTGCGGTTGTGTTCTTATATGATTCGTGTTATTTGCAGGACCTGAGTACCAGGAGGATTATTATCAAGAGACATGAGAGAAATGAATTGTATTATCTAGGAGATCCGCCTCCAATTTCACCAGTTCCTCCACCTACATCACCTGTACCTGTTTTATCTTTATCTGTTCCTAGTTTGCATGCTTGTATTTTACCTAATAATTGTCGTTATGATTTTTCGTCACAAACTATTCAGTTGTGGCATGACCATTTTGGACGTACAAATTTTAAATATTTATGTATGTTGTTTCCTGCTTTGAGCAATATTTGTGTTGGTGGTAAACTTGACTGTGTAATATATTCCCTATCAAAACATGTTAGGATCAGTTATATTCCTCGCATACACCAGTCACCCAAACCATTTGACCTAATACACTCTGATATTTGGGGATCCTCTCCTATTACTGCTCTGTCAAATGTCCGATACTATGTGACATTTATAGATGACCATACCTATTGTACTTAGGTTTACCTTTTGCATAGGAAGTCCGATGTACTCCCTATAATCACTCAGTTTCTACAGATGATTAATACACAATTCAATGTTATTGTTCATACTCTTCGTTCGGATAATGCCAAGGAATACGTGTTTGATGTCTTAGTGTCTCACCTTTCTTCTCAAGGTATCCTTCAGTAACTCACTTGTCCATATACTCCTGAGCAAAATGGCGTTGCTGAAAGAAAAAATAGGAGTCTGATAGGGATGGTACGTTGTATGCTTCGAGGCATGGGGGTGGCCAAAATTTTATTGACATTTTGTTGTTTTGACTTCTACCTTTCTGTGCAATCGTACGTTGAGTCGTGTTCTTCAGCATAGGGTTCCCTTACAGGTTTTAATTCTTGAGCGAACACTTTTTTCGGTCCCTCATCGTGTTTTTGGATGCACATGTTTTGTTCAGGATCGGTCTCCTACTCGTCATAAGCTTGATGATAAAGCAATTCGTTGTGTCTTTGTGGGCTATTGCAATCAGTCTAAGGGGTATCGGTCTTATGATCCTGTTAGGCGTCATATGTATCACAGTTTAGATATTACATTTCTTGAGCATATTCTTTATTTTTCTTCCAGTCCTGTGTCTGTCCCTCTAGTTGATAATACTTCATTTGATTTTTCATTACCCCCGGAGCCAGAGCCATCAGTCACTATCACTACAGAGTCATCGGTTTCTCCTCCGCTATAACCACTTATCCCTGGTACAGAGTCACCGGCCTCTCTTTCTTTGCAGGTTTATGTTCGTCGTCTTTGCTCTCATCTCCCTGCTGATGTCCCCTCTACCTTAGGCGATACAGGTAATACTTCTCAGTTTGTTGAGCATATTGATGCACCTGTTGTTAGTACTGATGAGATTGCAGGTACTGAGCCAGTTGTTTTACCTGATGAGACATTGTCAGTGGAGGATAATGATTTAGAGCGTCATTATACACGACGTGATCGTCGTCCAGTTGTTCGTTGTGGTTGGACTACTAGGATTTTATACCCGATTTCTGCTTATGTTTCTTATGGTGATCTGTCTCCTATAATTCTGGCTTATATTATGACCTTATCAGATACGCCGGTTTCTCGCTCTGTTTTAGAGGCTATGCAAAAGCTCCAGTGGATTATTGCCATACAGACAGAGATGAAAGCTCTTCAGCGTAATCATACGTGGGATCTTGTCTCTTTACCTTCAGGGGTGAAGCCTGTTGGCTGTCGCTAGGTTTATACCCTGAAGTTTCTTGCGGATGGTACTATTGATCGTCACAAGGCTAGACTTGTGGCGAAGGGCTTTACTCAGGTACCAGGTCGTGATTTTGGTGCTACCTTTGCCACCGTGGCAAAATTGACTATTGTTCAACTGATTATTTCTTTGGCTGAGGAGTATGCTTGGCCTCTTCATCAGTTGGATGTCAAAAATGCATTTCTTTACGGTGATCTAGACGAGATTATTTATATGGATGCACCACCGGGCTTTCGTGGTGAGGGGGAGTATGCTGGAAGGTATGTCAACTGCGTAAGTCTCTTTATGGACTGAAACAGTCACCACGAGTCTGGTTTTCTCGCTTTAGTGATATAGTTGTACATTTAGGGTTCACCAAATGTCATTCTGATCATACATGCTTCATTCGACGGAATACTTCTAGACAGTGTATTATCCTTTTGGTATATGTTGATAATATTATTATTACTGGAGATGATGTTTTGAGACTGCGCAGGTCAAGGTTGACCTTGGGAAGGCCTTCGATGTGAAAGACCTTGGATTTTTACGATACTTTCTTGGGATTGAGGTTATCCGTAGCAGCAGAGGTATTATTCTTTCTCATAGAAAGTATGTTCTGGATCTTCTCTCAGACACTGGGATGCTGAGGTGCAAACTGGCATCATCACCCATGATTCCAAACCTAAAGCTTACTGTTGAAGGTGAGGAGTTGAGAGATCCGTCTGTTTATCAGAGGTTGGTAGGTAGACTTATCTATCTAGCCAACACTAGGCCAAACATTTCATTCGTTGTCAGCCGAGTTAGTCAGTTCATGCACAGACCATGTCAGCCACATCTTGATGTCGTTTATCATATTCTTCGATACCTCAAGTCTTGTCCTAGACTTAGGTTGTTCTATGCATCAGGATTTCAGACTGGTTCTCTAGCCTGTTATTCAGATTCAGATTATGAAGGAGCATGTGACGATCGATCCACTACAGGTTTCTGTGTTTTTCAAGGGACTCATCTTATCTCTTGGAAGAGCAAGAAGCAGTCAGTTGTTTCTCGCTCATCAGCAAAGGCCGAGTAACGAGCACTGTCACTTGACACATGTGAGATTATTTGGCTACGATCGATTCTTAGCGAGTTGGGATTTTCAGTGACTTCTTCATCTACATTATATTGTGATAATAGATTTGCTATTCAGCTTGCTTCTGACTCTGTATTACATGAGAGGACGAAACATATAGAGATCAATGTTCACTTTCTTCGGGAGAAGGTTAACAGTGGTATTGTTTTTACTCCATCGTTTGTGAGGACCAGTGATCAGGTTGCAGATGTTTTTACTAAACCTGTCATTCTATCCATTCTTCGAGACTCGGTTGTCAAGCTTGACTTAGTTGATATTTTTGCGCTTAACTTGAGGGGGAGTGTTGGAGATATAGCAATAGTCTAGTTTATTATGACTTATTAAGTTTTCTCCTTTTACCTTTTTATCCTTATCGTAACTTTCATTGATTATATATACGAGATTCTACACTTAGTTTGTATCCTTTTTTTCACGCACATCTATTCCAACTCAAAAGCTCGAGAAGAGACTTATCTAAAAATGGACAGAGATTTTAGTCCTAATCTTAGAGAGAAACCTTTGGGAGTAATCAGGTTCTGATCTGAGTTAGCACTTGGTAGTCGATCAATACCATCGTTCTGCTGCGTAAGCTAACTTTCACATAATGTTGCCAGGTGTCAGTCTGTCATTGGTCTAAAATTATACAATCCTCCAGTATCAATTCTTCTTTTTCTGGTTTCCCACCAAGTGTAGCTCCTTTCAAGTATATTTCTCTCCCTTGCAATATATCCATATCAAGGAGAACCTGAAAAACTACTCTAACATCACTGACATGGAGGAGGAAATGTCTCCCTTGTGTATATCCTTAGCAGATCGATGTTAGAAACATGAGTTTGAAATTTAGAATCATTCGAGTTTCAGAAGTTCATAGGAAAGGGAATAGGGTTACGCATCAACTAGCTAGAAACGCATTTTTCATTAGCGATAATGATATATGGCAGTAGCAATGTAGCATGCCCCCATTTTATCTTGCCTTCTCTCATTGCAAATATTCCTTATTACTAAAACTCAATACCATCTCTTTTGGAGATTGTGTGAACAGTCCATTTATCTAACAACCAGAAGGGATAAAACTAATACAACAAAGTCAAACAACCAACATAAGCCATTATTAATCTGACATAGTTTATTACTCTCCGAATAATGATATATCGGCAGCATCTACATGTTATTTAATCCAACACAAAGCAAAGGCACAACACAGAATAACAAAAAGCAAGATATTATGCTTCCATTTTCACCTATGAGTTTAAGGCTATTCCCTTGGTTCTCTTTCCAATCTATAATTTTCTTGTCCATGGCAGTGTTCCATACTGGAATCCTTGCCCTTGGCACAACCCCTGATACCCTCCCTGGAAATGAGACAGCTCGTCTTGCATTGTTGGCCTTCAAGTCAATTTTGAATGACCCTCAAGGAACACTCAGCTCCTGGAATGATTCTTTCGATTTCTGCCAATGGGACGGTATTACCTGTGGCCGAAAGCACAGAAGAGTAACCATCTTGGATTTAGGGTCTAGAGGCTTGGTCGGTCCATTGTCTCCTTCTGTCAGAAACCTGAGTTCTCTTCAGGTTCTAAGTCTCTATAATAACAGCTTTCAAGGTGGCATATCACCAGAAATTAGTCATCTATTCAGGCTGCAAACACTAAACCTGGGCATGAATAACTTCGTTGAAAAAGCTCACCAGTCTAAGGATTCATGTAAACCAGTTAACAGGAGAGATCCCTCCCTCCATGGGGAATCTCACATCTTTGGATAGTTTATCTGCTGCATGAAACCTTTTTGAGGGAACTATTCCAGATACCTTTAGTCAATTGAAAAATCTACGACAACTTGGGTTTGGTGGCAATAATCTCTTTTGTATGATCCCTTCTTCCATTTACAATCTTTCCCTACTGGAAATTTTCTCTGTGCCAGGTAATCAACTTCATGGAGGTCTTCTGTCGGACTTGGGGTTGATGCTTCCTCATATTCAATTTCTTCAATTAGATGATAACCAATTTACTGGACCCCTTCCACCCTCCTTATCCAATGCTACAGAAATGGAAAGGATTTCCATTTCAAATAACAGTTTCAGTGGACAAATATCAATTGATTTTGGACGTCTACTGCGTCTCTGGGGTGTAATGCTAACGTATAATAAACTTGGAAGTGGGGGGCCTGATGAAATGAACTTCATTAGTTCTCTGGCAAACTGCAGCAATTTGCTGGTTGTAGGTCTCCTAGGTAACCAACTCCGAGGAGCATTACCAAGTGTATTACCAAGTTATGTAAGCAATTTCTCCACAAATCTTTACTATTTTACACTTCATCAAAATCGTCTATATGGAAACATTCCTTCATGGATTGGAGATCTTGTCAACTAAACTCTGTTTTCTCTGCGTAACAATGAGTTCACAGGCTCTATTCCTACCAATATTGGTAATCTTTATAAGCTGGGGAGATTGGCGTTTAGTAGCAACAGATTATCAGGAAAACTTCCTTCTTAAAGCGGAAATTTGACATTGTTGACTGATCTTTACTTACATAATAACATGTTAGAAGGAAACATACCACCAAGCCTTGGAAATTGCCAACATTTGACATGGCTCACTCTTTCTCAAAATAATTTTAGTGGCAACATACCCAAACAACTTTTTGGAATTGCTACCCTATCTGTTATGCTGCTTCTGGGACAGAACCGGTTGTCTGGATCTCTTCCTCTGGAGGTTGACAATTTGAAAAACCTAGTGGAATTGGATGTCTCAGAGAATGAATTGTCGGGTGAAATTCCAAGTAGCCTTGGTAGTTGCACTAACCTTGAACGTTTATGCCTGGAAGGTAAATTCTTTCAAGGATCTATTCCCAATTCATTGCAATCTTTGAGAGGCCTCCAAGAATTTGATCTTTCAAGTAACAATTTATCAGGCCCAATTCCCATATATTTAGAGAAATTTTCCTTGCAGTATCTGAATTTGTCCTTTAATGATTTGGAGGGTCAGGTTCCCATGGAAGGAATTTTCTCTAATGCAAGTGAAATATCAGTTGTTGGAAATCATCGGCTTTGTGGGGGTATATCCCAACTACAGCTGCCAAAATGCACAGTCGAAAAGCCAAGGAAACATAAGATGTCTCTTGCAGTCATATTGATAATCTCTGTAGCCTGTTTGCTTGTTGCAGTGACAATGGTGTCATGTTCCATATTATGTTGGTTCAGGAAGAAAAGAGAACATCAGATTTCAGGATTATTGTTGGGGCCGAAGTCACTGTTTAGGGTATCTTATGATAGGCTCCACAAAGCAACAGAGGGATTCTCCTCAGAAAATTTGATTGGCTTAGGTAGTTTTGCCTCTGTGTATAAAGGAGTCTTCCATGAGGATGATACAGTTGTTGCAGTCAAAGTACTTAATCTGCAACATCGAGGAGCTTCCAAGACTTTTATGGCTGAGTGTGAAGCCTTGAGAAATGTTCGACACCGAAATCTTGTGAAAATTATATCCTCTTGCTCAAGCATTGATTTCCAAGGTAATGATTTTAAAGCCCTGGTTTATGAATTCATGTCAAATGGGAGTCTAGAGAGGTGGCTGCATCCGGTTGCAGAAGCAGAGGATGGAGAGAATAAATTTAAGGGTCTGAACCTTCTTCAAAGAATAAACTTTGCCATCGATGTGGCTGATGCACTCGATTATCTTCATAATCATTGCCAAACACCAATCATTCACTGTGATTTGAAGCCAAGCAATATTCTGCTAGATAGGGAGATGGTTGCTCATGTGGGAGATTTCGGGCTTTCAAAGATTCTAAAGATTCTACCGGAACCCATAAATTCAAATCAAAGCAGCTCAATTGGAATAAGGGGAACAGTTGGGTATGCACCTCCAGGTAATCACAGTAGTTATTAGTATTACCTTTTCTTTTGCTCTTAAGTTTTGCCTTCTATGCTATTTTTTTTTCCTTTCATCAAAAGATAGTTAATTGCTACTTCTATCTGTCAATGATTAAAATGTAGTTTTGAAGCATAGCTTTGTTCTTCTCGAAAATTGAAACGTTCTAAAAATATTCCAAAATTTGAATGAAAACAGAGAAAAACATGAAAATCTGATTCCAAAAAACATTCTCAATCATTAGTAGAAATATTTCAAAACATCTTCAAAAATGTTCCAACACATTTCCGAGTATTAAAATTTCTATATTCAATCACTCATTCCTTTCGGTTTTAACCGAGACAAGTGATTTTTGATCCTTCTATCAGCACTGAGCATTGAGTAGAGCTAAAAATGCTTAGAAATTTGGAAGAGATTTCGATCCATACATTCCACTCAAACTGGAAGAATGGGTCCTTAGAGTTTCTTGGTCGATTTGATTTGTAGCTTATGTACCCAAAGATTTGACCCATTGTCACTTGCAACTATGCAAGTCTCGCATCAGACGTACTTATTCTTTTATGAAATAAGGATGGAGGGTTTGATTTCTATAGTATTTTTTTCGATTTCTATTATTTTTTGTTATGCTGTTTGATCTCATTTTCATTTAGCAAATCACCCTTGGTGAAATTTTTTGGAAACAGAGTATGGGCTAGGAAGTGAGGTATCCACAAATGGTGATGTATACAGTTATGGGATCCTGCTGCTGGAGATGATAATAGGGAGAAGGCCCACCGAACCCATGTTTGAAGGAGGCCTCAACCTCCACAATTTTGCCAAGATGGCCCTGCCTGATCGAGTACCAGAGATCGTCGAACTAATACCTCTTGCAAGTGATCAAGAAGAGGTGGATGTGACAACCCGGAGCTACCAGAACCCAAGCCAATCGATGGCTGAAAAGAGAAAGGAGCAGTGTTTAATTTCCATGATCAAGATTGGAGTGGCATGCTCCATGGAGGCACCCCAAGATCGAATGAACATTGTTAATGTTGTTAATGAGCTGAATGCAGTCAAGAAGATCTTTCAAGGGACTAGAACTCATCTATAGAGTCATGAGAAGCTTGTGTATTCATATCAAATAAGTATTGTACATATCCAATAGTTATTAAAGTCTTTCTTTATTTCTAGATGTGCGGAATGATACCTTTTCTTCTTGAATTCACTTACAATAATGCACAAAAAAATATTCATATTACCTTAGAGACGTGTTATTGCTTGACAACAAGTATTTTAAAGCAAATAAACTATAATTAAATGTAAAGTTTAGTTTCTTTATCTAACCATGTTTTTGTTTTTTGGGTTCAATGGCCAAGGATGTCTGGGTTATCCCCTTCTCAGTCCGGTCAAAGACAGATTATTCATGTTGAGACTAGGGTATTCATGATGGATAAAATCCCTCATATTTACTTTGTGGGTATAACCTATAATTCTTTAGAAGTTGGGATGGTTTTTCAAATCGTTATCGAAGAAATGATTGAAGATTCGAGGTTTGAGCTGCAGAATAATAGATCTAATTCTTGTAAGGTTCATCATTTTTATTCTTGTTTTCTTATATTTTACTGATTAAGAAATGTTTGACAAGCACGATATGTATGACAATGATCCGATGAATCATAGACTTCAAACAATTTAGAAGTTAATTTCTTGCCTTCATTAACTTCTTGCACTGAATTCGGAAATTTTAGTCGGTCAAATTCATAAGACCCAAAAGTCCCCACATGGAGGTTAGCAACTTCTTGGACCTCAGCTATAAGGAATTTATTTCTTATCAATACTTTAATTCCAACGTGGATAGTCTGTCTTTGACTAGATCAGAAAGGGAATTAGTCGAGGTACACGTAAACTGATCCAAACTCCCTTGACCGTTGGACCAAAAAAAGGTCCCCACATAGAGTTTCATAACACTAAAAATCTGAATATACAGAGTAAAAATTTTCCTAGCATTCTCGTAAAGTAATTGATGATGCACAAAATAGTTTCGCACACCACCTATCAAGTGTAAATAATAAATGCAAAAAATAATATAAGGAGATGAAGAGACACAGACAATTTATAGTGGTTCGGTCAACTCGACCTACGTCCACTCTTTAATGACTTTTGGTTGTCGGGTACTTTATTAATTTAAGAGTGTGGAGACAGAGAATACAAGCTTCGAGGGAGAAGAAAAAGTCAGGGAAGGTGTGATGCCAGGCAATCAATCTCCTCCTAAGTGTTGATGGAGTGTGCAATTTATAGTGGCTCTCTAACAGGTTGGGGCTACTTTCTAGCGACTAAGCAACTATTTCGGTGGAGCTCCGATCTCTTCTCAACGAGTGAGGTGGTTGAGGAGCTCTCCATGAGACGCGGTCAAAGATATGGTGAGGGTGGACCGTTTCTTTCGGTGGTGCAGATAAGATTTCTCATGCTCTCCTCTTGATGACGTGGCTAAACAAAGAGTCTAACTTCGTCTTGAGCTATGTTGGGTTTGGTGGATCTTTAAATGAGATTGAGCTCCTCAATTGAGATTTGGACTTTCCACATAGATTGGGCCACTTGGGCTTGACCCATCATTTGACCCCCAATGCCCCGTGTTCAAGGAAACTTGGAGAATGATGCATTAATTTGCTCCTTGAGTTATAAGTGGTGAAAACCTCCTCTGCTAGATGACTATTTCCCTCCACAATACATTTTTGTTTTGCATGCCTCAAGTTTTTTCCACTTTTGGTAGGATTTTTAGAAGAGCTCATAACCTTCAATTTGGGCTTTTCTCTCTTTAAAAACCTTAAGCTATAAATATAATCATCTCCTTCATCCTACCCATTTCATTCACTTTGAGATTGAACACCCACCTCTTGAAAACCTTGAGAACTCAAGTCCTACCCATTTCGAGTGGAGTTTTCAAGTGGGCAATGTTGATTGAAGAGGGAGTGGTGGAGATCGAAGGAAGGGATGAGGTAGGCACCACTTTAGGCGCTGGTTTGGGCGGATTTAAGGAATTTTCTTGGAGTGCAAGGGACTACCCAGGCACTGGAAGGGCTGTCCTGGACAGCTTGGGAGCTGAATGAGCTGTCCTGGACAACTTGGGCTCACAAAAAAGGGGGCTGGACAACTTGAACGCGCAACACAATGAGTTGGACAGCTTGGGTGGAGTGCTGGACAGCCTTGGAGCGCAAAATAGAGAGATGGGCAGCTTGGGTGCGCAGAGCAGGGAGCTGGATAGCCGCGTGCAGGCAAACAACGGGGCTGTCCAAACCATCAGGCACGCAGCAGGCTTGCACAGTGGGCGAGCAGGGAGGCTGGGCAGCAGCCTGGGCGCTGTTTCTACTGTCCTGGACAGCTGAGACACTCTGGGCAGCACTGATTCCGCTGTCCTGGGCAGCTCACGAGCGATGGGCAGTAGTATTTTTTCAGCAGAAAGTGCAGGAAATCAATCCAAGGTGCAGTGGGGAGAGCAGGGCAGGAACCTGGGTGCAGGGGCTGATCTAAGCGTTGCTCCAGGCGATGATCCGGGCACCATAGGCGTTGATTTAGGTGCCACAAGTGCTATTTTGTGCAACTTTGAAGGGTCAAACACCTCTCCAGCTACTGGGCTGCTCCGTTTTGGCGAGCAAAGGCGGTCAGGCACCTCTCCAAGTGTTAGGTTGCCCTGTTTGGTCGAGCAAAAGCGGTCAATCACCTTTCTGGGTACTAGGCTGCCTCGTTGGAGCGAGCAAAGGTGGTCAAGCATCTCTCCGGGTGCTGGGCTGCCTTGTTTGAATGAGCATAGGGTGTCAGACACCTCTCCAGGTGCTAGGCTGCCTCGTTTGGATGAGCAGAGGGGGTCAGTCATCTTTCCGGGTGCTGAGCTTCCTCGTTTGGATGAGCAGAGGGGTCAAGCACCTCTCCAGGTGCTGGGCTGCTCCATTTGGGCGAGCATACCCCTCTTCAGGTGCTGGGCTGCCTCCTTTAGGCGTCTGGGAGGTGTTTGGTGCCTTGGATAAGCCTGGGTCTGCCTTGGGAGAGTCTGCTTGTGAAGACAAAAATAATATTATTCTAAATATTAAAATATTTCACATAATTACCTATAGAGATAGGTAGGCTGCTTGCGCGAGAGTAAAGACAATTGGAGAACTACTCGTGAGAGAGTTACACCTTTTGAGACCTAGCTTTTGGCGACCCATGAGAGAGTCTCTAAGCTTGAGATATAGGTTGTCTGCTTGAGAACAGCGCAGATGCCAAGTTTTTGGCGACCCGTGAAAGAGCCGCTCAGCTGGAGATATAGGTTGTCTGTTTAAGAACAGTGCAGAGGCCAAACTTTTGGTGACTCGCGAAAGAGTCGCTAAGCTGGGTATTGAGGCTATCTGTTTAAGAACAGTACAGAGGCAGACCAAACTTTTGGCGACCCGTGAGGTAGTCGCTAAGCTGGATATTGAGGCTGCCTGTTTGAGAACAGTGCAGAGGCAGGTCAAGCTTTTGGAGATCCGCGAGATGATTCACCTCGCCTGGACCTGTTGATTCCTCAGTGTTCATATACTTTTAAGCTTTTGCCAATAGTTCTGACATACTCTTTGGTGGTTGCTTCATTACTGAAAAAAGGAATCTGGATGAGTGGAGGCTTCCTAGAAAGGCGGTCATGGTGACTTTGTCATTGGGCTCCTCAGTTTGGAGGATCCTCGTTAAAAGGAGTGAGGTAACTCCTCAAACTCTCGTCTTGATCCTGCTTTATATTGAGCAGATGGGTGGCACGCTTTTGTTGGCGGCGTCCACCAATGAACTGTGCCACAAATGATCTGCTCAGTTCGGCGAAAGAGCCTATGGAGGCCGAGGTGAGTTTGGCAAACTATTGTCACGCTGATCCCTTCAAGGTAGTTGGGAATGCCCTACACATAATTTTATCTGGGACATTTTGCAACTGCATCAAAGTTTTGTAGCTGTCGAGGTGGTCTAGTGGATCCTTTGTTCCGTCAAAGGTCTCCACGGATGGCATTTTGAACTTTTAGGGAAGGGGGTAGTTCACCGCATCAGGTTTGAAAGGTGTGTCTGTCCACCTTAACAGGTAGTCCACTGTCTCGGGTCCTTGCACTTTCATGGCGTTGAAGACATCACCCAGCTGATTTTGCACTTCCTTAATTTTCTCGTCCCAGTGATTGGGGGCTCCTCTGGAATGATCATGGACATGATTTTCATGCTCGATACTTTGGTTTTTGCCCTCATCTTCTTGGAGATGAGGGTTCTCTCCATGGGAAGCAAGAGGAGGGGGAGGTGGAACTCCCTCATGTTGGGCTCCCCTGAGTGGGGCGCCCAAGGGGACTCTCAAAGGGGCACCTAGGCGTGGAGCAACAGGGCATGGAGCTCCTTGGTGTCCAGGGCGTGGAGCTCCTTGGGGTCCTCCATGTTGTGCACCTCCAATTTGTGCTCCTCCTTGGGGTCCTCCATGTTGTGCACCTCCAAGTTTTGCTCCTCCTTGTCCAGTAAGCATGAGTTGTAGTAGCTTTTGGTTTTGGGCCACCAGCTGCTGCATGGTCTCCAACATTTGCTGGGGATTCGGAGCTGGAGCATTCGGGACAGGGTTGGCTGGTGGAGGAGCAACCTCTTCCTTTTGTGGTGGACTGTCTTCGTGTTGGTTCATGGATCGGGTAGTGATCGTCATTGGTTCATCAAATGAAGTGTTTAGAAGTGAGAATTTTGTTGTTCCCACAGACGGCGCCAAACTGATGATGCACAAAATGGTTTCGCACACCACCTGTCAAGTGTAAATAATAAATACAAAAAATAATATAAGGAGATGGAGAGACACAGACAATTTATAGTGGTTCGGTCAACTCGACCTACGTCTACTCTTCAATGGCTTTTGGTTGTCGGGTACTTTATTAATTTAAAGGTGTGGAGACAGAGAATACAAGCTTCGAGGGAGAAGAGAAAGTCAAGGAAGGTGTAATGCCAGGCAATCAGTCTCCTCCTAAGTGTTGATGGAGTGTGCAATTTATAGTGGCTCCCTAACAGGTTGGGGCTACTTTCCAGCGACTAAACAACCATTTCGGTGGAGCTCCGATCTCTTCTCAATGAGCGAGGTGGTTGAGGAGCTCTCCA